ATGCCCAAACAAGTATGTGATGCCATTGTGCAATGAATGAATTAAGATCAGTAATTATCACAACCCTAGGGTCAGCAAATTCTAATCCTTCCCTTCCTTATTCATCGATACCTTTACTTGTTTTCTTCTTGTATATAACTACTGTTTATGTATTGTTATATCTATGCTTTATCAAGGCGCAGCGATTTCATGTTTCTCTTGCTCCTTGCGGACAAACAAGCAAACAAGCCAAAGAAAAAAAATATTTGTTACGTGACACTTCCGATAGTGTTCCTTGGGAAATACATGAAATTTCAAACATGATAATTTGTGTTTTTTTCAGTAAATTTTCTAAGCTTTCCAATAAAGCTGTGCCATACACATTTTCATGACAGTTTGTAAAACTGAAGAGCTTCGTAGAGAAGCTAAAACTTGTGGTGAGATACAGCTTTGGTAAAATTACTTTTTCAAAGTCATTGGTGTGAGAATTAAATCTTGCAATTAACCCTTGCTCGTGTTCTCTAGGTATGATCGCATCGCCCTATACAGTACATTTTACGGCAGAGATGATAACAACACATGTCAACACAAAGTACTCCCTTCTAAGGGACATTGTGTGAAGGACGAACATAGAATCAATGAGAAGTTATTTGATTTGTGTCAAGGAGAAAGCAAATGTTCCGTGGCAGCCACTAGTGCTTTTCTGGGAAAGAAAAATTCTATCATGTGCCCTGAGGTTTATAAGTATGCCAGAGTTGTCTACCGATGTATACAGCACCCGAAGATTGTGCCGGTAAGTTGATGAGTCATTCATCCTTCAAGTTCTGCTAGTTCCAATTAGATATATCCCATTCACTTAGTTTCGTGTTCAATTGACTCCAACTGTGAGAATCAGATTGGCATTGGCATTGTTAATGGAGACTGTCATACTGTGTTGCTGTCATGCCGTTGTGATTTCTCTTGTCTCCCAATGGTTGTGATCTAGGTGCAACCGCCACAGCTAGCTAGCAAATTCTTTGCTCGTTTAATTGGTTATACAATATATGGTAATCATTATCTACAGAACATTTGCTCCCGAGCCTCACACAACCTAGAAACTAAACACTGCTACATGCGATTCCATCCGTTTATGGCATAAATTGAATTCTCTTACACTGCATTCTTCTTCATGACCAGGTGTGTTCTCTACCATGCCACAAACCATACAAGTGCTTTCCCAGATGTGACATCAGCTGCTGCACTCCTCCACCGCCCCCTCCTCCTCCTCCGCCTCCTCCTCCCCAGCTGCCTCCAACATGTCCCGGAGTATGCCCAGCTAAGTGCTTCCCTGCATGTTCTCAGACTTGTTGCAGTCCACCTCCTCCCTCAGCCCCATCTCCAGTATACTATCCCATGCCTGCTCCAGCACCTCCCCCTGCTCCCACCTGCCCTGGATCGTGCCCGAGTACATGCGCTCCAGTGTGTTCAGTCAAGTGTTGTATCGGCCGGAACGCCGCATTGAATAGCATAAGGCCACTCTCCTACTCGCAAACACGTATGACACCTGCCACCTACGGTTATCGAAATTATTACCCTGCGTCTCGGTCAAATGATTACTACGCACAGTACAAGCAATACGCCCGAGCGAGGTCTCAATACCCGAACCCTTATCAGGCGTACAGAACATCGTATGGAAACTGGAGGAACATGAATGCCTATCGAGGATAATTCACTTGAATGTGACAGAATACATCAGAAGTGAGAGTTGTATCAACACTGAAGAAGTCAATTTCACAGGTGTACCTGCGAAAGATTTTTTTTCAAAGAACAACTTGATCCCTTTCGGGAACTTGTTTGCATAGCATTACTACAACTCAGAAACTGTGCCCAAGCGTATCCATGAACTCTAACAAAAATCCAATGGGGATTCAAAAGCATTTTGTAATCAAATGTCTCAGTTATTGTAGAGGTAATCGTAAGTTTATTGAAGCCAAGCCTTAGAATTTGGTTTCAAACAAAGACTCGAAATAACGAAAAAGAAAAAAAAAAAAGGTAGGAAAACAAGTAAATTTCAGTATTGCAAAATAGAACTAATGTTTGTCGTTAATGTCACATGATTTATCATGAAAAATGATCATTTTTCTTTTATTTTTATTTCTGATGTTACAAGGTTTTTCGATTCCTTGACTTAAGTCTCTTATTTCAGAAGAGCCTTACTTTCAAAAGCATGCTAATTTGCGTTCAACGTGGATCTAGTGAAGGGGAAGGAGGTCTTATTTTGTTCAAACGGGTTTCTATTTTATCGGAAAAAGTGTAAATAATGCATAACTTTCAAAACATGCTCTGTCTCGTGGTCGAAAAATTTTATGTCAATTAAACAAATATGTGTAAAAGCCAAATGGTTATTTGTGGGATTACATCTGCTGTATAACGCCATCGCATTTCTTTAAGGTTGTTAGTTGCGCTTTAAGTAAAGCATGGACATAAAAGAAAGTAGAACGGGACTAAAACTAACAAGGCAAAATTTCAAACACGCAAGAGAGGAGTGAGGATTACTTGATTTCTGCTTATCTTACAATCGTGATAACGTGTCAATTAAAAACCGAATGCTAATAAACGATCCTACTTTGGTAGTTACGACGCTTGCGCGTTATTTATTAGGAATCGCATCGGCATAAACGTTTGATCAACCTGGCAGCTTAGTATTTCTTTGCGCCTACATGATTGCTGACTCTATCAACTGAGCATCCATAGACTTCTCTCTGTCTGTGAGCTCTTTCTCTCTTTAAGGTAAAATCGGCCGAGTAGTACAATAAAGTAAAGAGATAAATTTATTTCGTCCAGTATTAATTATTTCTGTGAAAATTTTATCCAACCGTGAATATATGATAAAGACGTGAATATGAAAGCGATCTCTGCAGTAACGGAACACTACTCGAGCAGTTATGAAAATAATGCCTGAAAAAAAAAAATTCAGGCTTGTGCGGGATTTGAACCCATGAACATAATTGAATTGTGTAGAACGCTACATTAGAACTCAGTATTCGTTGCTTTCAATAGATAGTCCGTTGTTTTGCTCCCAGCCATCCCAGCCTCCGCGCTACACTCACGCCGATTTGAATTTTTAATAATTTATGGTCATATTCTGTTAGTAAAAGTCTACTCGTTTACACATATTTACGTTTACATGCTACAATTAGCCCAGAAGTGCCAATTAATTCATTGACACTGAAGTTAATTTATGATTTTACAAGTGAGCGCCATTTAATTGGGAATTATAAGGCGACGAAATTGCACCTTCATCATCCGGATTCGTATAAAGCAGGTTACTCGACACGAAAAAATGAAATTTCACCCCACAATGAAATAAATACTTACCTGTAAAACCTTACTCGTTAATAGATTTTTGGGTTGCCCATTAGTTGGTTAGGTAATTCCATTAACCGGCTATAAAATTTCATGGCCTTCATTTAATTTAACGAACAGTTCGAAGAGGAGGCTTATCGTATGCTCTTTTTGCTACTAAATCACAGCCAAGAGAAATTTGCGTGGGAAATTTCTACATTTGCTTTAAGGTCAGTGTGATCGTCAAGAATTCAATGTTTATTGCATGATTCTCGATTTTCTTCTCTCCTCGAAAGTTGCTGGTTGTTCTGGTATTGTTTCCTTATATTTAAGTTAGATACTCGGCCAACAAAAGAACCATTTGTGAAGGCAAATATCTTACTTTTTTTAAACTCTTTTTTTTTGTAATCAGTTTCTAGGGAAGAAAAAAAACATTCATGGTTTATTTTCCATGATGCAGAGTCACCTTAAGGAAAACTAAATTACCTATATGGATAGAGCGATTTCGAAAGGTTTCAGGAAAGGTCAATTTACTTTGTAATGAATTGAATTCGAGGGTGCGGATCAGCTTTCCTGAGTCATCGAAAGATGAAAAATACTCTTAATTTGATAATCAGGATCGAAACCTTATTCTCATCAAAATAAGAACTGTTCATCATTACAGAATCACGCAGTTGTTCATGGTTTTCTTGCCATGGTCGTTTACCAGAAATGATCATTGTCGTTATATAATAAAAGCCACTATGCTGTAGAATTGGTATGAACATTTAAAATTTAAAAATAATTAGTAACCGAGAAAGTGATTGACGCGGTGGCTTATTTATTTGTGCGCTGATATCCGAAAGGGAAGATTTAGGGTCGAACCCCGGCCTTCGAAAGTGTTCTTGAACAACACAGTAAGTGTTCGAGATTCTCATTTATCGAAAGGCGAGAACCTAAAAGGATTTCACAGTTTCTAGGATTGTGGATTAGAAGTAACCAATTTTTTGTTAAGGTTCTTGCATCACAGCACACTATGGGAATCAAATTTATTTTGCTGATGTCAGTAGTCAGTGGTGCCATTGTTGTCAGGACTGCCCTTGAAGAACCTGGTCGCGTGCAAAGTCTATCAAATGACAGAGGTAAAATAAAATAAAATAAATGTGATAAATTGATAAGTACCTGTTGACTGAAATGTTATCATTTTAAGACCTTAGTCCCAGCGCCAAGGGAAGCTATCAGATATGTACAGCTACATATACAATATATTTGTAAGTTTAACATCGATTAATACTCAAAAGGCTGTTGATGCTCCATTCGAAGGTGTCTTTAGGAAGAACATGAAAAAATTACCGCCAAAATGGATTTCGTATTCAGGACTGCGCTAGGAGACAACTAAATGTCACATCTATAGAACTGACGTTTAGTTATTTGATAGCATATCCCTATCACCGATTGTTGCTTTCTGTAAGGATATAACTTGGGGTTGGTACGAGAAACTGAACATGGGATTCTTTTTAACCCTTTACATCCTAACATCGGTATACAATTTCTCCATACTGTTCTGTATTCATTTCCTATGGTACCTACAAAGAGAATTTGTTTAACAATCAAGAGCCTCTTTAGTTAGTGATCATTTCTTTTATTCTCATGACCTCAATATTTGTTTTAGGGGTGATACTGAAAGGAGAAAATAGTTACTAATCACTCTAAGGGGTTAAAGGGTTAATGGAATGTTTTACACATGACGGATTAAAGAATTCAGATATTCACAAAGGGTTCCCGAAATCAATTCATCACTACATCATCATACATGATCTCATTACTAATTATCTAACAAATGTTCGCATTAAGTATAAGGATGAAGTGTAATATTTTGATAACAGGCGGAACTGACAATGCGACCAAGAGAAGTGTGTTAAATTTTGGTTGGATGATATATAAAGTTACTAGAAGAAATCCCTTGGATTTCAATGGTTATGGTTGCTGGTGTGGGTATGGCGGGAAGGGAGACCCAGTGGATGTTTTGGACAGGTGAGTATGTAACCACTTACACAAATAATATTTCGTTTACCATCTTCGAATTCGTGACGCTAAATTTAACCCTTGGGAATGTTTGTGACGAGCGGCTCAAGTAGTGAGATCAAGAAGACTTGAACCCGTTGAACGGTTAATGTGAAGCTGCTTTTTGAAGGTTAAACGTTAAAAATTTATCGTTTTTGACGATTAAAAGCTTAAATGTTACACCGTTTGATGGTTCTCCGCGAACCCCATTGGAACCCTCTGAACCCGGAATCAACTGTGAGCCATGCCAATTCATCTCAGTTCTTCGTGTTCTTACTTTTCACGTTCAACGTTTCTACCGAGCATTTAGGACATTGTACTCCTGGCCCCGGTTGTTTGAAGGATGGATATCACGATCCATGGGATAATTCCCTATTCGGTGGATAGTGCAGTATGTTTTGTTAACACAAATCCGCAGTATAATGATTTATACTTTAGATAGCACTATCCGCCTTTTGAACGACTAAGCCTTGGCTGTTTGTCCTCAGGTGTTGCTACGTCCATGACATGTGTTATAACAAACTCCAGTCCGACGTGTGTCCATTTAAGGCAGCCGTGTATACTCTGTCATATTCAACTGAGAGAGGGAGATCTTTGGATTGTAGTACGTTGCAATCTTGTTGCATTGGACAATTTCTGGTGTTTTTATTTATTCCATTAAACTTTATGAAATGGATTTATCTCATGTGTTTCATATTATTATAGACATAATATTAAGGTTTAAACATGAGTGCTAGGTTCTGGAGACTGCGCGATAACTAGCAGTATCATTGACGGTGAATTAGCTCCTTTTCACTCCTTTCACATTTTGAGCCGGTGACACACTTAGCCATTTCATGCGTCGATCATGGCGATCGGTGTAAATCACCAAATGCGTCGCCGGCTCAAGAGCAACGAGAACATGCTTTGAGGGCGAAACGAACCTGTGGGCGAAATGACTTGTGGTCAAACCGACTCGCAGGCGAGATGACTTGAAGGTGAAACAGACCTGTAAGCAAAATAGCTTGTGGGCGAAGCGACCCGTATGCGAGACGAGTTGTCGGCGAAACCGACCAGTAGGCGAAGTCTTTTGCGGGAGGGTGGACCAAGCAAACTGGGCCTTTTGCTATTGTGGAGAATTAGAGAAACAGCAATTTGATGGCAACCAAATAAAGCATCTACCTTTTTTTATCTTAAGTCTCTTTGAAAGACAAATTTGTTCATTTCCTTTGCTTGATTACAAATAATCTAAATAATTATTTTTCCACAGAACGGCCTTCCTCGTATTGGTACTGGGGCAAGTGTCGTTATTTGTTGTGCAGATGTGATGCCGTAGCAGTCAGATGCTTTGCAAAGAGTCGTTATAATCGGAAGTATAAAAACTACCCGCAGAAGAAATGCTAGAAAGACACAAGTTGTGTACAGTTGGAAGAAAAAC